TCAATGTGATAATGGGAGTGAAAGAGAATGAAAAAGACTTTAGAAGGAACTGGAAATTCAATCTTAAACAGGAAACAAGGGTTAAACCTCTACTCGGGAGGAATGTGAACCAGTTGATAGCCAAATATATCTATTTGTAATGAAAACTAGATAATAGTAAATAAAATGGAGGAGGCTGTGACAAGGGTTCAAACACCTTCACTTTGAAGGACTTCAATGGGGCCCTCAATAAGTGGCTGGAGCACTACAACAAAGGCATTGAAACCAGAGGGTCTTACTTTGAAGGAGATTTCAAGGTGGAGTTTTATACTTGAAATTAATTAATGTCTCTTCTGAAAAAGTCTTAAAACTTTTGCAATGCGCCTCAGAAATTGTTTGATTTTAAAACACGTCAAGCCTTGTTATCTAACCAGTCTTATTTATGTGTGGGTTTTTAAGCATTTACTGGGCTTTGAAACAGGTAAATCTTAGTTATTTAAAGAATTTTCCAAGTCAAAGCTTGATGTGGCACAAGAAAGTAAAAGGCACCCATGAGGATCGAACTCACTACCGGTCGTGATTGTTCTAGCAAGACAAAATTCATTTAACCATTACACCACCTTGAGGTGCCCAATATTTGTTGTTTATAACCGAGTTTGTAAGCATTATTTTATTTTTTAAAAATCAATTCATCCTCAAGCAAATCAATAATGCCACCGAGCTGCAAAGGGTCTACGGGAATTGAAAGAAAAGACAGGCATTAGAAGGAACCGGAGCCCCAATAATAGTATAAACTTTAAAGCAGAGATGTTGAAGTAGACTCTAGAAGGAACTGGAAACAAGGGATAAACCCATACTCCTGTTCAAAAGATCAAAGAGGCATATGAACTGGATGAGAGACGAACCTATATATTTCTATTGGGATGAAAAACAACAACAATAATAATTAGTGAATAAAATTTTGGAGTTCATTCGGAGACATTACATGTATACAGTGGAAGTAAACTATAGAAGGAACTGGAAACAAGTGATAAACCCATACTCCTGTTCAAAAGATCGGAGAGGTGTGTGAACCAGATGAGAGGCGAACCTATTTACTCCTATTGGGATGGAAAACAATAATAATAATAATAATTAGTAAATAAAATTTTGAAGTTCAGTTGGAGACATTAGATGTATACAGTGGAAATAAACTTTAGATGAAACTGGAAACCAAATCCTAAACAGGAAACAAGGGATAAACCTGTACTCCTGTTCAAAAGACTAGAAAGGAGTGTGAATTATTGTAAGTCCTGTTTCCATTGAGTTTGAATCTATACTAACCAGCCCAGGGATTGAACTCAAAAATCACTATACCACCAAAATCCCAAAACAATGTTTTAATCTCCAGGACGAGCAATAACTGAACAGTACTAAAAAGATCAATATATCCCTACACATTGGCAGTGGAATGAGAACAGTTTACCCCTGTAAATTAAATAAAGGGATCAGTTGGGAAATTTCTTGAAGTTTACCTAGATTTACAGATACCTGAAGAGGGTATAACATTTGAAATGTTATGATAGTATCAACAAACATGAGGATGTTTGTTCAAATGTAAATAGTTCAAACATTTTGCTGTTCCTTGTGACATTCTTTTTGTAAAAACCACTTCAATATAATGACTATTTTATGTATATTTCTTTTTGTTTTGTTAGTCATATATGATTATTACATTTAAAAGTCATAAATATACTTAAAACTAACAGAAAAGACTTGGTAAATTAAGAAGGGTGCTAAGTGATGCGATTAAATGTTTAATAAACAAAACCTTTAAAGTTTATAAGAGGATGACATGAGTCGGTTGAGATAAGGTTTATTTTGTCTTTATTCATATTGTCTTTCTCAGATATATTTTAGTTAAATCTTAAATTTTTCCATATATATATCTATAAGGGGTTGCCAAGTATGAAATAATAATAAAAAGAGAAAGTTTATTAAAGAGTGAGAACAATAGAAGAATAATTCAGAAGACAGTAGATGATGATTGCCATCACATTTAAATTTTTGCAGATCAAAGTTGGCTGGAAAGTGTGGCACTAGAAGAGAGTTCCATAAGCAAGAAGTGTGAGAAAAGAAACTGTTAGCATAGAAATTACAGTTACATCTAGCCAATTCTGAATTATCTGCATTATCTGATTTATGGTTTAATTTTTATATATATATATATATATATATATATATATATATATATATATATATATATATATATATATATATATATATATAATGTAAGAATGTAAATATATATATATATATATATATATATATATATATATATAATGTAAGAATGTATAATTGCTCTCAAACATTAATGAAACCATTTTAGAAATCAATTTCTAATGCATAAATCCTTTTTTTTTTTTTTTTTTTTAAATTTTACTCAAACATTTGCAAGAATGAGAACTACAGAAATTACCAGCATTATCAAAGAATAATGATGTTTAATGAAAACTTAAAAAAAATTCAGGAAAGTATTCCCATTACTGGTTCGTTACTAAATTGCTTAAGATTTATGAGGCGCATTTAAGAAGTTTTGAGATATTTTGGGGAGAGACAATTATATTATAATTTTTTTATTTAGATAATGTTAAAAAAAATGAGCCAATTATTTTAAGAGACATGATATTTAAATGATGATGTTGAAAAAAATTTTCAACATCATTTGTTGATAAGACACAGAAGTGAATTTGAAACAAAATGGCTATTTTTAGTGATTTTATAACATATATATTATAATTTTAAATAAAATAATTATATTTGCTTACTTTGTATTGAGCATTTTTTAAGAATAGTAATTGTTGGTTATTGGAATTCATTCCGTATATACCAATTATATACTTGTATATATATATATATATATATATATATATATATATATATATATATATATATATATATAGAGAGAGAGAGATTTTGACATACACACATTTAAGTTTTTTTTTTACTAGTATTTAATTTAGCTTAATTTCAGGTTCATTTTTGTATATATAAATATTGAAAAAAGCTCAATATATATATATCCTTGAGTATTCTCCTTTTTGACTCATGAATTATATATATATATATATATATATATATATATATATATATATATATATATATATATAGTTTGAACTTATATCTTACTGGAATTATCAGAGTTTTTTTATAACACTATTGGACTCTACTTTGAGCAATAAGAATGTATAATTACTCTCCAAGCTTAACAGAAGAATCGTGATGAAATTGATCATATAAATGAAAATGACATGTTCATCATTAATTAATCATAGCTAAGGATCAGAAGCTCATGAAGGATTGAAATAAAATATATATATATATATATATATATATATATATATATATATATATATATATATATATTCCAGGATCATTTTCTAACTTATTCAAGAGGATCTTCGCCCTCTCTAACCTTCTAACTTTCTGTCCCAGAGTAACAAGTTGCCTCACAGGTTTCATGTATGATTTTCTTTTCTTTTCTTCTCTTTGGATGGTCATATCTGAAACTCTTCTCTCATATGCCAAACGTCTTATGGATTGAGTTGGATCTTTTCTAATTGACCTCTTTAGCTCTAAGTTGAAATGATGATCCCTCTTCCTGTTGTGACCTCCTCATCCAGTTTTCCTCTCTGCTGTTCCCTTCTTTTTAAACTTATTCACCATTCTCTTGATGGTTCTTGAATGGACTTTGAAGATGGAAGCCAGAGTATGAATGTTGGTACCATTACTGAAGGCCTGAATGATTTTTTTCCTCTCACCATTGCTCATTTGGGAAGACAGTGGGGCTGACACAAAATTATTTTAACCTGTTCTCTTTCTAGCTGAATAACTCAAAGGGTTTTTCAGTTATTCTTACGACAAATTGTGTCAAGATGACTAAACATCTTATCTGAAAACCTGGGAAAAAGAAATTCAATAAGTTTAGTTTTTTTTTTTTTTAGATATTAAACATTTTGTGGGATGGACAAATTTGTTGTTACACGATTTGGACAATTTTTCTTTACATATATATATATTATATATATATATATATATTAATATATATATTTATATTACAATCATCATTTGTTTGTTCTTAATGCAGACCAGAGCCAAAGAATAAGTTTTTGGTGAGATTAGAATTCACATTGTTTTATCTGCTATATAACAAGATTTTATTTTTTTTTAACATATATTTTTTTTAAAGAACCAAGATTTTTTTTATGTTTAAAGTCATTTTAAAAAAGTTTTTACATTCTATCACCATTAATGATGGTAACAGCTGTAAAATTTTTTGAATTCAACACCATGGGTGAAATTTAGTAAAGATTAATAGCAACTGATAATAATTTTATCTATATCCTTCAAAAACATATATAAGAATTTAAGCAAATTATATAGGTTATTGATATTGGACAAGACACATACGTTCAAAATATAATGAAAAAAAAATAAAAAGCAAGGATCCTGTTTAGAGTCTCATAGTCTTTAATTTAATATCCAATGATCTGAGATTGAATATGATTTCATGACACATGGATGCCTATATAATGGTCATGGAATTTGAAAGGAGGTTTTCAAGTAGATTCTCATTGTTTTTAGTCATATTTACAAAATTCCAATTCTGAATGTAGTTTTCTGACACATTGACACCTATATAATGGTCTAAAGACTATCTTGGTTTTGTACTTTTCTAAATATTCAATAAGGAGAGAGAGAGAGAGATTTATGCTTTAAACTTTCATCCAGTTTTTTTCTCCCTAATTCATTTGACCCCAAAGAATGTAAGTTTTTTTTTTTAGCCCCAAATTGAATATTTCACATTCGTGATTCAGATTTGAGGGAATTATATAAGTCAAAAGGTAGAAATATTATTTTTTGCAGTATCTTCATAACTTGAAAAATTTCTTAATGTATAATTTCCAATGTTTGTCTGATGGAACCTTCCTCTGGATGTGCTGTGATCTTGACTATGTTCATTTGCAAATTTTTTGTCATTTTTATATGACAAACAAATAATTATTTGACAGTTCCATCATATATGCAGAGAGTCCTCTGGCAAAAGAAGGAAAAGAAAAAAATCATGGTATGAAAAAGCTGGAGACAGAGAAATTTATTGGTGACAATGTAAAAATCAGAGAAGATTATATAGAGCTAGTGTTTCTTATTTCAAAGTAATCTTAATCTTAAAAAAAAAAAAAAAACACAACATTCAAATTACATTTTTTTAAATTTCAAAATCTTGACAAATATTGATGAAACCATTTTAGAAATCAATTTCTAATGCACAAATCATTTTTCTTTTTTTTTTTAAATTTTACTCAAACATTTGCAAGAATGAGAACTACAGAAATTACCAGCATTATCAAAGAATAACGATGTTTAATGAAATCTTGCTTCATTCAAGAAAGTATGCCCCTTCCTGGTTCATTACCAAATTGCTTAAGATTTATGATGCAAATTTAAGAAGTTTTGAGATATTTTGGGGAGAGACAATTACAATTTCCCTAAATTATTGTACTTTTAGTATATAATTACTATACATCTAATAATAATGACTGGTAACTAACTTTTTGTTATTCCAGATCGATTTCTGAGATGATTTATTATGATAATTATTTACATTATTCGGACTATTAACCCTCATCTTTTGTCTGAAGAATTATGGAAAAACAGAATGGCTGAAACAATATGTAATAAATAAAAACAAAGATGAGGACAATAGCCTGAATAATGTAAATAATGCTTGTAATTAAATTTCTTTCCCATAAAATCTCCAGAAAAAAAAGAAAAATCTTATGATAATTTATATTTTTCTCTAAATAAAAAAAAAAAAAAAAATAATCCCTAATATATAATTTTAATTTCTGGAATTAGGATTTAAAAACAATTGAACAAAACATTATTGTTTTTTCACAATGTTTTCGACTGCTGAACCCTCTGGCTTTCTTCAGTCTATCAATACTGGTAATGTTAAGGGAATTCCAAAATGAACCCTGGACAATGAAATGATAACATTTGTTTAATTTTTTTTTAATCAAAGTGATTGATCTTTCGGATCTTGACATAATATTATTGTATATATGTTATACCAAAAATGGTAATAAAAGAAGGAGCCAGGGACATAAGACGCCCCCAGGTATCCAATCAAAGAGTAAAATAAAAATTTATATTTAAATTAAAATAAAGTTTTTATTTCATTGTTTCATCTGTGTTGAGATTTTTGAGTGTTTCCCCTTTATAATGATTGAAATTTCTAGTTTTTTTTTTTTTAATAAGGAAAAATTTTTTTAAATATTTGAAGAGGTATTTACAACAGAGAGATTAGTAGTCAAATGAGAATTATGATGAAGTCAAAATCAGAAAGAAAATACTTTTCAACTCTATTATCCGTTAGAGATCAAAATAATTGATGGAACCTGATTTATGAGAATTCTATAGAACTGCCTTATTATTAGTAGAGAAGTCAGTCCATTCTGATGAGAATAAAAAAAACAATCTGCTTTTACATATTTAAAAAATAATCTTTTCTCATTGACATTTAGAACAGAGCCTAAGGCCAGGATTTGGCATATATATCAGGCATAAAAGTTCCTTCACATTACCGATTTGCTTTTAGCAATTTTTTTCATTTTAAAAAGCTATTTTTACAATTTTAATAAAACTGGATTTATACAGGTTTCTTTTTTTCTCGAAAATTGATAACGAAAATAGTAAACACTATTTGTCAGATTGTTTATGTTAGGGGGTGTTAACAACAAAAATAATTTTATATTTACAAGATTATAAAAAATATATGAACCAATTACATAAAGAAATGAGTAGGATTAGTTTTTTTTATAACTAATTATAAATTTGGAAAAAAATGCCTTTTCTGGATATTATACATTTTCTTTTGACACACTGACACTTTTGACTTTTCAATTATGTTTGTTAAACTTTGCCAAATTTTTATTTTTTAACATAAGCTTTATCAAGGTCTCCACATCCATAGACAGTATTTCCAAAGATTGAATTTAGATATTTAATAAACTTGAAAACTTTTAAAGGGTTTCATTTTAGAAGTTTTTTTTTTTTTATTCAGTAACATCCCATGCAAGGGACTAACCACTAAGACACAAGGAGTTACAGGGTGTGGACAAATTAGGAACAGAAACATTAATGAGTGGGAAGAAGAAATAGAAACCAGGACAGTAGATAGCGAAAACATTAAATTTAAATTTTTGCAGACTAAAATTGGCTGGAAAGCATACATTAGCCAGAAAAAGAGTTTCACACCAAGAAGTGCAAAACTTTTGTTAGCACAGAACTTACAGCTACATCTAGCCAGCTCAATTGTGAACTGATGTGATCTTGACACCAATCTAGTACTATCATCTTAAATTTAAAAAAATTTAGTAAAACCATATAGAAAAGGATATTTATTCTGTTCTCTAAGAAATTTTCTGGGGTAAAAAAGGGATTGGAAAAGGACTTCTTTAACAATAAATTTTAACTTTATTTTATAATATATAATAATTTTTTGATTTTATCGCAAAAAACAATATTCCTTGCAAAAACAACACATTCATACGTATAAATTTCTATATATACATAAATATAATACCATCTTTGTTCTATGAAAATACTAACTAGTCCAAATATTTACAATAAATAAAACAACAATTCTAAAAACTAGCCCCATCAGTATTTATAATATATATAAAAATATATATACAATATATATAAAGAAAATAAGATTAGTGAAGAGCTCATCTGAATTTTAGAAAATGAAATTATTTATAGAAAAGACACAAAGAGGCAAGTTAAAAGAAGTGGGAAAATGATTGAAGAATCTTTTCAAGATCAGGACTGATAATATTGTAGATTTAATTTCTAGTTGGACTTATCAAGGAGCTCAAATTTAAAAATAGCAAAGGGCATTTTGCATAGGACAAAAATATTTAAGTGTTGGATGAATGATAGACTTATAGATATTATGTAAGATAGAAAATGAAATTGTAGGGAAGAAAATTTCATTTTGATAGAATATATATTTCAAATTACATACCGTAATTCCCCCATGTATAATACGCATTTTTTCTAAAAAATAATAAGCAAAAACAGGGGTGTGTATTATGCACAGCTACAAAAAATCTTTATAAAATCTGTCATAAAATAAAATAAGAATTATCGTAAAACTAAATTAGAATAATATTATTCTATGTTTAAAACCATTTTTAAAATAAGAGTAGGAAACACTGGTTGTAATGAAATTGGAGAGGTAGAATTTATAGGATTTGATTACCAAACAAAGGGTGTGTTTTATGCATGAGTAGAAGCATTTTCCCACACTTTCAGCAAAATTTTAAGTGTGCGTATTATGGATGAAGGTATATTATATATGGGTAATTACGGTAGCCATAAATATTTTCTAATTTAATTTTCCACAGAAGATTGTCATGTAGAAAAGACAATATGCAAATTTCAAATTGAAATACTTGCTTTTTAACACATTGCAGTTTTTTTTTTTTTTTTTTTTTTTTTTTTAAATACTGTTTAGTTCTTTTTGTTACATATTACCTTGAGCATTTTTTCTTGTTTTTACAGAAAAAAAAAGACTTTGAAAAATATAATTAAAAGGCCAATATTTTTAAGATGTCAGTTCATTATATGTGGGCATAAGGGAAAAATAAAGATGTTGTGTTAATGAAAGATAATGTTATTTACAGAGTTAACTGCTTACAACTATATGTTCGCTTATTATTGCATAATTAAAACAATTTAAAGGATGTGCCTCAAAATCTGATAAAAAAAAAAAAAAAAAAAAAAAAAAAAAAAAAATAAATAAAAAAAAAATCACCCTTTTAATACTAATATAGGAATATTTTTACACTCCTAAACAAATAAAACTGTAGGTAATTTACACAAATATTATGGCTAAAACCAGAAAGTCCTTTAAATGTTGTGTTTTAGTGGACAAGAGATATTCAAAAGCTAATTGACAAATCATGAAAATTTGACTTGCCATTTGCTAAATATTAAGGAAAAATATCGTCTGGTACTGAAAGAAGGTAAAAATAATTTTCCAATTATTATATTAATTTGTAATAATTCTAGTAGGGGGATCAGTTTATTACTTAATAACAATAAAAAATCGATCCCCATTTTATGCCCAGTAGAATGTTATATTAATATCTGTTTACAGTCATAGGCTTGCAAATCACAATTATTATGACTAAAACTACAAACTCTTTGTAGTTACTTAACAGAGATATGCAGAAAGCTAATTGACTAATTATAAAAATTTGACTTCTTATCATTTGCTAAATATTAAAGAAACTCACTTTCTAGTGGTTTTGAACAAAAACAAGAAAAAAAAATCACTTAATTTGCTTGACTTTAAAGAGTAAAATTCTTTACCTGTGTACAGTTTCTTTTCCCCAAAAGTTATTAATAAACACCATATTAGGGTTGTACAGTCGGTAGTCATGTGTTCTTTTGAAAAAATTAGGTACCTACAAGAGATTTACATAGAAAAAAATAAATACACACAAAAATATATACAAAAATATATACAAAAAAAAAAAAAATAGACAAGAGGAAATAAACATAGGTTGAGTATCCTTTATCCAAAGTTGCAAAATCTGAAAGTTTTTCAGGTGTTTACCTGACTTGTCACGAATGAAAACTTTCAGTAAGCCCCAGCTACATAGCTTACATTGGTGCCAGTTTTTTTGTTAATGATTAAGAATTTCTTTCTCAACACCCTTGTTCTTGGATTACTTACCAGGTGTTTCATGCTCAGTAAAGATATGCAAAAAGTCCTGCATTTATATATTTTTTCTAAGTAATGATCATGTTTTTTTTTGTATATGTACAGAAAATACATTATTTTTATGTGAGATCTTAATTTCATCACTTAAAAATCTGTGTGAGCATTATATGACTAGCATCATTACCTGTATCTGTATGTACACAAAATTTATTAAAAACTACCTTCAGGGTATATAAGCTGTGTTATGAAATGTAAAGGAATATCATGTTTATGCTTATTTTCATTCCAAGCTGTCTCATTTTATAAGTGCTATATACAAATTAAATAGCCTGTATTCCAAAATCTAAAAAAAAAAAAAAAAAAAAAACCCTGAAAACTGAAGCACTTCTGGTCCCTAGAATTTTGGATAAAATATTCTCAACCTGTATTAATATTTTTGCTAAAGATTTAAAAATTGTAGGATAATATAAAGATTACTTGTGAAAAAGGTTACAAAAAAAAAAAATAAATAAATAAATAAAAAAAAAAAAATAAAAAAAAATAAAAGACTGAATATAGAACTGAAGTATTGATAAAATTTGACACCCAACCAAGGCCATTGAGAAGAAAAAAAAAAATAAAGTAATAAGGGAGATAACTGTGGTAGACTGGTTCCTGGATTAAAAGCAGAGCAGAAGTTGAAGACAACAAAAAGAGTCATGTTGTTTGAAGACTTCTTTTTAATGCTGTCTCTCTTCAGGATGTAGGTAATTATGACTCTTCACAGCTTTCTTTTCTTTATAATCTGTGAATTACTATGCATTCTTGTGGAATATTTTTCTACTGCTTTTTCCACAGCTTTGATTTCAGAACTTATTTTCTCAGACTGTCACCCAACATGAGAGAACTCAGTCTACCCTGTTACTTAACCTATAGTTGGGAGAAGAAATGTATTAATAAATTTCACAGTATTAATATGAAAGTTAATTCAACAGATGAGTTTGCCATTTGAACTCAACTTGCCAGATTCACTGTGTCAATATCTGTTAATCAACCTGAACATTCTACTTGCGAATAATACAACAAAGAAGATACAAAATTATTTGTTATTCATTTTGCTAACGAAGGAAGAGAGAAAGAAATTCTTAACAGCTATAACCTTATCTGAATAACAGTTAATTGAAATAATAATAAAAAACAATTGAATAAATTTTCTGTGCCTAACATAAAAAAAAAATGCACATGGAATTTTAGTATACATATTTTTCTTTTTTTTGTAATCATTTCACCACAAGCAAGGCAACAATGCCACTAAGATGCATTTGGCTTACTGGGAGATAAAGAGAATGAGAAGAATTTAGTGAGAAGTGAAGAAAAGGACAATAAAAGAGCAGGATTCAGGAAGACAGAATATGGCAATTGATGTTGCATTTAAATTTTTTGAAGATTGTTGGTAGGAAACAATTGGAAAGGAGTTCCACAGGCAAGAAAAGAAACTATTATAAAAGAATTAAGATGTCATCAATGATGTTAATACAAGGTTCATTGATAGTTTTAGGTCTTACCCAGTTGACCGTGCACATTCATTGATACATGTAACAGCAGCCATCCTAACAGCAATTTTATATAAAGGAATGAAGTAAGAATTTGGGACCTGCCATATCACATACACAAAGGTAAATCATCCCCATTCCCTTTGTATTCCATTAGTAAGGAGGAAGTTCCATTCAGACAAATTCTTCTCAAGAACTACTGATTTGTGGAACAGACTCCTGGTAGGATGTTTTCCCAATCTCCACAATCTGGATGCTGATAGTATCACGTCTATGACCAGCTTGGACAAGCTAAGACCAGCAGCCCAAACGCAGACACTTGGGTCGCCACGTTAAAAACTGTCCTTGTGTCACAACCTGACTCAGTGGGTTGTCAAGTAAATACAAATTGCTCTCTTGAGTAGTTTGTAATACATTACTTATCACTCAGAATCTGTCTTGAACAGAGTTGCAACTGAGGAAAAAATTCCATATTTTGAGGAACATTTTTGAGGATAGATTCCATAATAAAGGTTTGCTCAGGCCCCACATTAAATGTCCTATTGTTGACCTGATTTTCCTCTTCAAATGTTGAATTCAAATGTATAATTAATTCTAATTTCTATGTTTTTCCCATCTTTACACCATATTAATTTTATCTTTAATTTTATCTTATAAATTGTCCCCTGTTCTGTCACCCATGAAATAAAAAAAATAATTGTTTGTACAGAAAATAAGGATCTACGTACATCAAATCATCTTTTAAATTAAGTGGCAGCAGAAGAATTATCATTGAACTTTTAAAAGGTAAAGCTTAAATATTAATTCAATACTTAAATGCAGCAATCAATTTTGAGTTCTTCTGTAGTTTATTGATGCCTATCGCATCTACTCCTTCCTAGCTATTGTGATGATGGTCAAACCAAAAGTCCTCCACAGGAGCTAGCTTAAATGCCACCCTGATAAATGCAGGCTTTTAAGCCAGAACTTAATAATTTTAAGCTAGCTGCAATTTTGGATACAAAAGGAAAATAAGAGTTACTCCCCTTGAACCATGAAAGCAACAATAATGGCTAGTATAATAATTAATATATATTTTTAACTTTGCATAATCTGGCAACCCTGAATCTGAGCTCAATGAAAATCGTTCCCCAAGCCTATCTTTTCTAGGGCTTTTGAATGAGCTATGAATCATTGAATCAAATGTAAAATTGGAGGATTTTTTTTGAACAAACACACATACACTGTACTTTTTTATATAAGATGCTTCCATTATTTTTAAATAATGTGAGGACATTATATATTTGTATACCCTAATTATGGATAGACAAAATCATAGGTCTCTAATTTCTTTTGCTGCAATATGACAAAATTGAGCTATGGTTAGAGAGATGTAATGCAAGTCTTCTTATTAGAACGAAATTTATATCCAATTATTCAAAAGCTGATTTCTAGCTTTTAAATATCAAAGAAATAGAATATTAGCACAGAAACTGACAACATGTTATTTGAAGAAGATACCATCTGTTGGCAACATTATATAAAGAACAAGAAATATAATATTCAAATAGTAAGAATAATTCTGCACTTGACTGACAATTGTGTTTTATTGACCAGAATGATGATGTCATTTCATCATTCTAAAATAACCTTGTCATCAGTAATGATCCAAATTTGATTGCCATCATCCTAACCCCTCACATTAAAAAACGACTCTTCCACTACAAGAGGTAGTGCTAGAGAAGATCAAGAGGGTGACTAGGGTACCCATAGCAGTAGTCAGTAGATTCTGTAGACAAGTAGCAGTATCAAAACAGGAGAACACATCTGCCAGTGTCTGGGAAGATCAAAAACAGACAATTTCAACTTTGCATCCTCACAAACAAAATTTTAGAATCAAACCAACTTGATTGACTGACTTTTAAAAAGAGAAAAAGAAAACTGAGAAAATTTGAAAATAAATACACCATACCAAAATTAAATTTTCATTATCAAAAAAAAAAAAACAAATTCTTGCTATTGATGCCAAAATTTAACATTTTTTGTTATTGTTGACGTTTATACATTTTAATTTCTATCATTAATATCAACTCTGTTACACCCAACTTATTGAGCCCCGGTCCCAAAAATAACAATGGGGACAAAAAATAACACATCAACACCCAACATTACTTTCAAAATTGTTTTGCAACTCTAAAGAATTGGCACAGATTATTTTAGAAAAAAAAAAAAGAAAAGGGAAAAAATAAAAATTTTTAATAAAAAGTAATCAATATATAATCAAAAAAAAAAAATGGAAAAGAAAAAAAAGAAAAGAAATAAATATAATTTCAATGAGACAATTGCTTGTAGTTTTTTTTTGTTTTTTTTTTTATAACATCAAGTGCTCAATATTAGAGAAAAAAATTTAAATACTCAAACATTTCCAATTCATAGATTTGATTGGATAAAAAAATCAGTATTTTTAACCATCTGTTAGAACATTAGCATTAACAAAACAAATTCATGAATTGAAAAAAAAAAAAAAAAAAAAATGTAACAACTCAAAATTCCATGATTAAATACAAGGAATTTCTTTTTTAGTTAATATTTAGTTTAATGTGTGTGTGTGTTTAGTTTTGGCACCACTGAAAAAAAAAAAAACCTAATTCTTACATATTTGAATTTTTGAAACTTAATCAAAATAATATTTTTAACTATTTTAAACACATATTAAAAAAAGAATTATTAACCCTCACTGAATCCATTATTAAAGAATCTAACATATGTTTATCTAAAAGTAAACAAATAAAACTGCAATAATGTTCTCAAATCAACATGTGAAAAACAAAATATCCATCATTTACTTGACATAGAAATTTAGAAAATATACATTTGACTAATCATTGAAATTTTGAATTGTTATTTTTGTTAAACATCAAAAAAAACATTTATGGGTTTTCAAAAAGATTTGGAATCTTATGAAAAAAAAAAAGATTGTTTTCATTTTTTTTCAGAAAACCAGAATGAACACTAATGTTGGTTTAAAAATCAAATACCAAAAACTAAATGATATATCTTATTTTAAATAAAATTTGAAAAATATCACAGTAATAATGTTGTGATTTAAATATTTCTCATATTTGATGAATGGATGTTTAAAAGTCTTGTTCCACACTATAGTAAATTTGTACATAAAAAAATAACAAGTTTAAGTTATCAAAAATGATTACTGTTCCATATAGCATCA